GTTTAAAAAACCAGGGTTTAGTGGGTAGATTTGGTTGGAGGTTACCATAGTGTCTACCAACAGTTTGTCGTGATTCCTGCCAAAGGACCGACCAGGAGGCTAGCATTTGGGGTTTGGTCATGGCGAGCAGATCTCTGGGAAAGCACTTACAGTATTTGCATACGCCAATTCTTGTCGCATCCTTTGCAAAGGCGTCTACTGCTTCGTTGCCACTAATCCCACTGTGACCGGGAATCCAGGCCAGAGTTACCTCAATTCCCGCACAATGACATCGGTACAGAGCTTAATGAAATGTCAATAGCAAACGACTTTGACAATTTCACACGTTACTTGATAGCGAACGATATGATAGTTGGGGCCGATTTTAGTTTGTCTATGAATTAAAAATAAAAACTACGGTTGTGCCTTAAAGGATGGAAAAAAAAAATATAAAAGGTTGTGCTTAGAGGATGGAAAAAAATAGTCTAAGCGGTTGTGTGACATGCGTGAGAAAAGTTTTATTTATCGCCATTTCGCCCGTAACATGCGGTTCCTGAACACATCACAGAGAGCTTATACGTGCGGCGCACTATAAGTTTCCGGAATGAATAAGAAAAAAATACTATAAATGGTCAGAAATGAATTTATTGTTTCTCAAAATATTCTCCGTTAGCGTTAATGCACTTTTTCATACGAATGAACCAATTTTGAAAGCATTTATGCCAATCCTCCGTGACAATCTCTGAAACATACTTTTCATACTCGTCAACAGCCTCTCCAGGTGATGAAAATCGTTGACCGCGTAACTCGTTCTTAATTTTTGGAAATAAATAAAAGTCACAAGGTGCCAGGTCGGGACTGGACGCGAGATGGCTCATAAGGTCAACGTTGTTCACCTTCAAAAATTCATTTGTCCTTATGGACGTGTGAGAACTGGCATTATCGTGGGGCAAGATGATATGGCGTTTACGGTTGTTTTTACGGAGTTTGTCAATGACTTCCGGCAAACAAATGGTCGTGTACCAACCACTATTCACGGTACAACGATTCTCCAAAGCAACAGTAGCCACGTGTCCAGTTTTATTAAAAAAAGAAGCAATCATCCGCTTAGAGGCACTTTGCACGCGCGCCTCTTTGGTTGGTTTCGGCTCATCTCGAAAGACCCATCGCTCGATTGCTGCTCTGTTTTGGGATCGTAACTATAAATCCAAGTTTCGTCACCTGTTACTATGTCCCACACTAAATTTGATGCCCCTTCGTTGAATCTGGTAAGTATGGCATTGCACCAGACCACCACAAGTGACGCGATCCGTTTTTTGAGCCTCCGTCAAATTGTGTTGGGTCCACCGAGAGCACAGCTTTTTCACACCCAAATGTTTGTGTAGTATTGATTGTATTTGACTCATGCCTAGGTATGACTAAAGATGCCCGAATGTCATGATATGTCACATGCCTATCTGTTGCCGTGATCATATGGCGCATAGCATCGATGTTTTTGGTGTTCAAAGCAGTGGACGTGCGACCATCACAAAATTCGTCACTGAGATTCACACGACCGCGTTTCAATTCTGCAAACCAGTTATAAATAGTCGTCTTGCATGGTGCTTCATCGCCAAAAGCAGTTTGAAGTCAAGCGAAGCTCTACTGAGCTGTTAAATTACACTTAAAGTCGTAGAAAATCATAAATTTTCACGAGTTAAATCCATGGTGATGTAGACAACCAATTTCTAAAATGACGCCACAATGTAAAAACAAGTGGCAGTCAGATCTAACAATCTGTATTCTACAGCCAAAGAGTTCCATTTTCAAATGTTGTAATTACTTTTTAAACATTGTTTATGTAAGTGGCGAGTTCCGGAAACTTATAGTGCGCCCTATGTAATATGTGTGGGGATAAAGCAGTGTATTATATATAATTAGGCATTAAAACACTCGTGAGATGTTTTTATGAAATTCGATTGTTGGCTCGTTTCATAAACCCATTAACCCATTCGTATTTTAATGCCTTTCATTATGCAACTGTCACATAAACTACTATTGATGAACGATTTTGAGAATATTTGGTTTAGAGTGTGGTCATGGATTTTCATGATACAACGAAAAATATTTTCTTCGACCGTTACAAAATAATTTTCTGCCTTAGTCGGCCGAGGAAATCGTTTTTCGTTGTAATATAAAAACTAAGAAATATGAATATGAAAACCTAACGAAAAAACGAATTTTTGTAACAATGATTTTATTTATTACAGAGTTCTTCTGTTCAGTGTACTGGCTTTTACATTATTCTGGACGACAAAATTCATAACTGAAGTAGTTGATAGATCAAAGCCGACGACCGCAGCGCCAAATGTGCAAAGCTTGGCAGACTTCTGGCCAATTAACGAAACTTATATAGGATATCGAGAATATGCTGAATAGCACTAGTAACAAACCGATATTATAGAAAGTATTTAATCAGGATGCCTATAATTAAATGAAGACCTGGCTTAAAGAACTTGTATTTAAGTAAAAAAAACTTAAAAAACATATAAAATGCAAGTAAAGCGCAAAGCACAGAGTTATCGATGAAGCATGGATGGACCCAATAAAAAGAAATTGGAATCAACTCTGCTATTGTATGATGATTGAATAAATCGAGATTTTCCTATAAAACGGTGTTTCTACGATGGTTGTTGTGAAAACAATGTTTAAAGATTTAATTTGCGACACGTTGTCGTAAAATTTGTAAATGTGGTAATTAATTGTCCGGGATCGGAATAGGTAGAGTTTTTTTACCTAAACTTCGAGGAACATAGCAAAAAAAAGGAGGCTGCCTTAGGACAATATTTTTTAGGTCCTGGACCTTTTCGGGATTCGGGAAATCACAAACATTAAAAATTGACGTAATTGGGGACAGCTTTTAACTTTGCGACGCACAGTGGGTCGGGTCTGTGATATTGCGGACATTGGATTTTTTTCACGATACCTCTCTAAAATGCCAATCGAGAGATCCTATTGCTCTAATTAAATATTGTCATATCACATTTTGCTACAAACCCAATAATAGTTTGGTAGGAAAAAAATTAAATGTGTATTTTTTGTATGGGACCATACCTTTAGTGCCCCATCGTTATAAAGTCTTAGTCGATCCAGTCTTGGAATCACTACAGAAGTATTATTAGTCATATGGGTCACTAAACGCGCGCCCAAACCTATTTACTACTTATACGTGTCAGAAAATTACTTCCCCAATTACGTCAATTTTTAATGTACTTAAGTGATTTCTCGAAATCCGAACAGGTCCAAGACCGAAAAAATATTGTCGTAAGACAGTCTCCATTTTCTATCTATGTTCCTCGAAGTTTAGGTAAAAAAACTGGGCTGGTACTTACAAGTCCTCGGGCACCACCTGATAATATTCTTGTACATCTACCTATACCGATCCCTGTTAATTATAAATAGCACCAAACCAAATACTAACTAGTAACTCAAACTTGTGGACGTAACAAAACACGATTTGAAAAAAAAAAAACTGAATGAAATCAATGTATACATTCTCGTTTATAAATGTATAATTATGTATAAATAAAAATAATCACATTATTAGCGATAAGATCCATTCTTTATTTTTTACTTTGAAATTGTGTTGTCTCAATTCCACAATTTTGAGTGACGACAGTATTTGGTTTCATGTGGAAAATATTAAATAATTAACACTATATAATATATATATATATATATATATATATATATATATATATAATAATATATAATATATATATAATAATATAATAATTAACACAAGCTGAAAATTACTTTTAATAAAAAACATAAGTATCATTTATAAACACTTTCTTCAGTAGTTTCATTTCTCTGCTTAGTTGCATTCTCTATACAATTTTATGTTGGTACATGGTTGGTACCCATCGAGATATCCATTCGTACTCTTGTTATAATTATAGCCTCTTGTGATCATACGTCAAAATGAAGTTCACTTGACTTTACGAAATAACACGAACTATATGATAACAACTCTCTTAAGCATAAAAAGTTATCAATTTCATTCGTAGAATATTCAAGCATCTCTCTTGAGAAGTTGTCATTTTGCAGTTGTGGCCTTATTACACCAATGGTATGGATTGTTATTTCGTAATAAGATGCCAGAGGCGGCCACTAGACTTGCGCCAGTGTCAGTCGAATATATACATTTAGGCAGCAGCAAGATATTTATTTTCAGAAGAACCTCGCCAAAAGGTTCTTCCATATAGCACAAAGCAAATTAAAGCCAGTTGTATGCTCTTTTTGGGTGATAAGTTTGGAAAGACGCGCAATCTTAAGGAAATAATAAAGGACTATCCACACATATCCAGGCCGCGCCCGGGACGTGGACGGGGCGTCCTAGTTTGTATGAACTGCGGGCCATTTCATACAAAATTTATTTATTTATTTATTTATTACATATTGCTTACAGTCAACCCAAACGTAATAGTAAGACTTAAAGCTAAATGTACAATCAATCTTAAGTCAATTACAAACGTGAATAAAGTATGAAAATTGATAAAATTATAAATACAATACCATAAACAATAAATTATTACAGATTAACATTAACGAAAAAAAAAAGATAAAAACCATTTGTTATTACATTTTAAACTAACACTTAATACTACTGTCTACAGTCAAGCACTCCAGATAGTGTCCTGCGGAAAATATGAATTTTGTTTCTGAGCATGCAAAGTGGTCCAATGAGGAGTCGAAGTTAAGCAACTGATTTAGATACCTAAGTGCACGGGGCAAAATATACATAACGATATTTTTTTGAGCCCCTGACGGAGCACGGCCTGTCCACGTCCCGGCCACGACCCGGACATGGCCCGGATATATGTGGATAGACCTTAAAAAAGTTATATTTGGATCTTAGAGGATGGAAAAAAAAGAATAGTCTAAGATTTGGATTGCCAAACTGACATTGGCAATGACCGCCATATTTTCTATGTTATTTTTACAAAACTGATACTGATAAAATTTAAGAAAAGGCACCGCAATAAGCAAAGAGAAGGTGTAATTTAAAAAATCTTTATAAATGTATTGATGGGTATTTATTTAATAAAGCGAAGAGAGTATGGGCATTTTTTCACAATTCCATGTTTTGTGTATCAAATCGAGGCATAACGAAATATGGCAACGGCAATGTAAGTATTAATATTAAGGTTGGCTTTAGTCATGTAGGATTAAATAATCGTCACCATCTAAGGTCACAATTACTGAAATTCTGCAGTTTAATTTTATATCAGTGCTCTTTCTTCCAATCATAGATTATTTTAGAACGGTATTTTTGTAGGTTTGAGATTAGGCTTAGGTCATCTTGATCTCGATTTGTTGAACCGACCAGTCTATAGCGAGACGACCCGCTTATAGGTACCGTGTCACGCAGCGGGCGCCCTTAAATCTATATCACACACTTATAAAAAGCTCAATGTCACTCAACGATCCACGGAGCAAGCAATGTATTTCTCTACGTTATCGAATCAGAAATGAGGAGATCCGTAGATGAAAGTCATAGCGCAAAGTATTAGCAAGTTGAAGTGGCAGTGGGCAGCGTGCATAGCTCGTCCAACTGACGGCCGTTGGGGCAGAAAAGTTCTCGAATAGATACCGGAAGGCGTTCAGTGGGTCGGCCCCTTACTAGATGGACCGATGACCTGGTAAGGGCGGTGGGTGACCGATGGATGAACGTCGCGTCCGATCGGGTAGTCTGGAAATATTTGGGGGAAGCCTGTGTTCAGCAGTGGTCTTCTAGCTGATATGATGATGATGATGATGAAGATGATTTAATTTTAAATTTACCATAAGATTTTCGGTGAAGGAAAATATCGTGATGAAATCAGGACGTCGAAGAAGGTTCGTATCCCTCGAAAAACGTGTGAAGGTGGGAACTTAACAAGCAATGGACTAGCGTGGCGGACTATGACGTAAACCCTCGCCTGACGGAGTGGGACGTATAAATGCAAGAGGCGGCAGTCGACTGGTGTAAACAGCGCATTAACTGCGCCGTCTTCATCGGCTGAATTCGCTTGCCGAAGAGGCGGCAGTAGACTCGGTGTAAGCAGAGAGTTGACCGGCTGCGCGTCCTTTGGCAAGGCGGCAGTCGAATCTATGTAAACACGCCATTGCTTTAATCTTTTTTTCTTTTTATCAGATTAGCGGTTATGACATTTCTTGCGTTCAACGCTTACTTTCAAACCATGTCTGGTCGACCTGACCCCATTCGAACAACGGCATCGTATGTACTACATTTTTTGTATTGTGTAGTTGCGCTTATTTTTAGCTACAAACCCCTCTGGCCTCCAGGCCGCATGGGATAGAATGTTTTTGTCAATATCTTTTTTTTATAATATCAAGTGACGGGACGAACAAGTCGTGCGCCTGATAGTAAGCTACACGCCTGTCTTTAACAGTTGCAGTGCCAATCAGAGTTTTAAATCGCAAAGATCTGAGGATTACTGTCACTGCGCACGTCACCTTCAGAAATAAGTTGATAAATCTTATGTGCCTGTATTTTCATCAGCGCCTTTACCCTTCAAAACCGGAAAACAGTAATGCTGACATTACTGCTTGGCGGCAGAAATAGCTACGGTGGCAGTACTTCCTTAGACGTACTCTTTCACAAGGAGCTCTACTGCTTCTAAAATATTTATCAAGAAAGTAAAGGTATCTTATGCCTCAGTAGATAAACCTATTTTCGCGATATTATAATATGTTCCAGATAACCACATCAAATTAAGGATTGCCTGTACTATGAGTACCAGAGCAACAGACTTTAAAGAAATCTTTGGTACAACCCAGAACAACTAGGCCAGAACCAATTTAGAAAATTTAATTTACAAATTGGTCCTACCGTGAATCAGGACCTCCCCTACAGTGTCAGCAGTTAAAACCGTTGGGACACTGAGGACGTCAATTCGCTCAAAAAAGACTGAAACGATGTTCATAATTCTTTTACTAACGAAATCAAGATACATTTGGTAAGGTTTTATACACCGGTTGTATTTTCGAGTGTTAAGTCATTTCGAGTCGGTTTTTTTTTATTACAGTACAACAACCACAAAGACAACCACATCTGCAACAACAAACACAACTACAACTACAACTACAACCACAACCACGACTACAACCAGAACTACAACTACCAGGAGCAGGAGGGGTAAAAAAACCAAGAAACCACCTAAGCGTTATTTGCTAAAGAACCAGGTCGTCCTTCTATCCGAAGCAGTTAAATCTTTGAGGGAAAAAAGCGACGGAACCGAACAAACTAAAATTACTTTTGTTGGTGACAAAATAGTGCGTTTGAGGCAAGCGACATAACCTAAATATTAGTGCAAGAACGCTGACAGGTTCTGCAATATACCACACACATAAGTATTTTAATCATATCCTAGCCACCCACCAGCATTAACTGCATGATAAATCTTTAGGACTATATTAACTCCACGCTTGCAGCGGAAGCACGACAGGGCGCGACTTGCGCGGCAAGCTACTTAGAAGCGCAAAACATGCTTATTTTCGCTAGTGTTGCTTCTCGCGCAAGCCGCGCCCTCTTGTGCTAACGGTTTTGGAGAGGATGTAGATCGCATTAAGACGAAAAATTCAACAAGGAGTTATTGGGGACTTATTTTACGTGCTTCAAATGCATTATGGCGGTGTATTTAAGCTCAATGATATTCGTATTATATTTGCAACGAACAATCTTATTGGCAAACACTATAATGATTGAACGTGGTGAAAAATTAGCCAATAACCGGAAGTTACTCGCGGATTGTTGCCCAAGGTGCGCCAAATGTACAGATGAGGAATGGTTCGTCGCATGGGGAAGTTCTCATTTTGTGCAACCCAATGAACAATTGAAGATGAGTGCCCATTTAGGCTGCCTTTTTCTCCAGAGATGTGCGACTTAGCGAGGCTGTGTGCGAGGGAAAAATCCACCAATAGGATTACTTGCTCACCTACGGTGGAAAAGGGTTAGCGAAGCTAAGTATTTGTACATACAAAATAGCGAGAGATGTGATCGAGGGATGCAAGCGAGGAATATGTGCAAAACGGTGTAGGAAACTAGAGTTACTGAAAGTATGACACAGTTACTGAAAGTATGACACTAACTGACACTGACACGTCGCCACCGCTCACTCCACCACACCCTATCCCGCCCGCGCATAGCTGAAAAGAGTCCGTAACACTTCCTCGCACCGCGCCCCTGCACTTCCTTTCACCGCCTAGCTATCTCGCACAGCTTTCATGGAAAGGCAGCCTTAACGAGCACACTATTTAAATTTCAATAAATGGTTCCTTTTTCGTTGTATTTTGTGTTCTTTTATTTACACGGTGAATAATATATAATATAATACACACATCAAAAGTGTCTAGGGATCAAGTGAATATTTTTGAAATAAAAATTATTTAAGCAATATTCACCAAATCCAGTCTCCCAGGACGACTTCTTACTTTAATGCTTATGTTTTATTTAACCGCTTACCCCTATATTTAATTAAAATAAACTAAAATTGATGTTTTTGCAAATTGTGGGAAAAAACTCAAATTAACGGCGTCAATTAAATGGCAAAAAAATGGCGAAAATGATGATTTTGCTCATTTTTATTGTAAAGATAAGAAAATTAATAATCTGTATTTCCACCATTAACACGAATCACACAATTACAGCGATTTGGCATGCTTAAGATGAGTTCAACAAAATCAGTTTGAGGAATGGCCGCCCATGTGTTTTGTAACAAGTCAAAATATTGTTGTAGAGTATGTACGGTATGCATACTCGGCACAGCTCTTCTTTGAAGCATATCCCATGCGTGCTCAATTGGATTGAGGTCTGGCGATTGAGCAGGCCACGGCAGAACGTTGATACGAGCTTCGGCAAGAGTGCGTGTTACGACTCTAGCCGTGTGTGGACGTGCGTTGTCATGTATTAATTGAAATGAATCACCCAACTGGCCTCGCAAAGGGATGATAACATCTGAAACAATCCTCTCTGCGTAAACTTGAGCATTGAGGTTACCCCTGATCCAAATGAGATCGGTTCTTCCGCCGATCCAAATACCGGCCCATATCATTATTGTTCCCCCACCATATGGATGAACTTCCTGACAATATCTCAAACGTTCATGACGTCCAGATGTTCTCCAAACTCGAGTACGTCTTGTATCCGGTCTCATACCGAAGCGGGATTCATCCGAAAAGCACGCGTAGCGCCAGTCTTCTTCCTCCCAGTTTCTGTGTTCGCGAGCCCATCGTAAACGGGTCCTGCGATTGCAGGGTGCAATAGGTGGAACTCTGAGCGGCCTTCGGGATCGCAGACCCACTTCACGTAAACGATTTCGGATTGTTTGATCGCTTATTAGCAAGCCTGAGGAGCTGTGGAGCCTCGTAACCAACATCATGGCGGTCATGGTACGATTCCGTCGAGCAGTATTTTGGATATACCGGTCCTGTCTGCGAGTCGTGATGCGAGATCGTCCTCCATGTCGCTCGGCCACGCTGCCCGTCATGCGATAGCGCGTCCAGAGGCGACTTATGACGCTCTGTGTAGTGTTAAGAGTGAAAGCCACAGCACGTTGCCTGGAACCAGCTTCCAACATTCCGACGGCTCGCATCATCACTTCTCGGGTTAAATGATGTCGTCTCTCCATAATAATGTAAATTGTTTCGGTTCCGATGCAGATATTGAAATGATTTTGTCAAAACGCTATAACTCATTTTTATACAAAACCACATTGACAATCGATTTTCTTCTTATTATCGAATTTTAAACAATATTCCTTATTTAAATGTTAAAACTCACTAAAAAGTGCCAATAGCGATACAAAAAAGTTAATATAATTAACCCTAATTGCAGCAATACTCTTAAACGTACTAGATCCCTAGACACTTTTGATGTGAGTATTACATATTATACTGTTTTTTAGAATTTTAGGTCAGTCTTTGTACTGGAAAAAGTGTGTACAGTCAAGAGCACATCAAGCTTGACACTTTGTAGTTTGGACCCTTATCATAAGTGGCATAGAGTCGGATTTAAATCTTAAGTGTCAAGCTTGACCCTGTACAAACTGAAACTTAAAAGTTAAGAATGGTTATCGGAAAGTGCGCAAAACCGGATTCATCTCCTAGTTTGCCACTCTTAGAGGTTCTTATCCACCGTTCTTATCATAGATTTTGGGTACCTATCTTAGAGTATTGGTTTCTATATTCTACGGTTCCTATATACTAAATCTATGGTTCTTATAGCGGCTGTGAATTTGTGAGAAAAATAACTGCCGTGTCCTAAATTATCTAAAACAATGTAAAATTCGTTTATAATTAAAGATATCAGCTACTCTGAAGTATTTAATACTTTTGTACTATACATAGAATAAAGTGACGAATCTTTAATACACTTTGGCTGTTTAAAATATGTTAATAAGTAGGTAAACTAATACTACGATATGGTTATTCAGATGTGTTTCATTGTAATTTCTCACTCATAGCTGTCGGTTATTGCGTACTTGCTAGCTCGCGTGATGTAATCGCAACAGCAGAATAGCAGTATATCAACAGCAGTTTTGATAGTTGTCCGTCAATAAAATATACATTGCGTAAGAATAATGCATTACATTAACTGCTATTGTAATACTGACCACTCTAGAGCCCATATTGAGAAATGGCGAAAACTATTTGTGACCCCAATTTAACATTAGAGACTCCCAGCGAATCCGTCTACCAATTTTCAGTTAGATCTGAGCGAGTTTTTATTTCAGCTGCCGTTCGAATGAATTCGCCATCTACAATGTTTCTTCACACGGGCAATAATTAATCACCAAACCCTCTGTCACATTCCTTCAAACACATGCGGAAGGACAATGCTCATACAGTCCTGGATCAGCAAAATGAAACTTGGCAACTGTCAATCGCAGACACAAGATTTCCATATTATATGTATAGGGGTATTTCAATTTCCGTATACTAATTACATTTGTTTGTTTACTGGGGAAACACCATTTTGTTTACGAGGTTATGTTAAATATTACATAATTCTCATGTTTTTCTGAACACGTCAAAGCTAACACTTGTACTTAGATTTTCATTACGACCGACGAATGAGATATAAAACGTGTAATAAGAATAATTTGAACTGCCTCAGTGGCCGAACAGTTACCATGCTGGTATGCCACGCAAAGGTCCCGGGTTCGATTCCCGAGCTGAGAGAAATATTTATATGGCCTACATTTATTTCTCTCGTGAGTTTGGGTGTAATTTGTGGTTGTCTATGTGTGTGTCCGTGGCACTAGTTTTCCTAGTGCGGGGCTTTATTTTTTTAAAGAATAATGACTTGTACTAACGTTTTGACATTTAATTTTACGGCTCGTTTACATTTACCATGATTCCTCAAAAGTTCAGACTATTACAAGATTTCAGATAACTTTAAAGTTGAGAGCCAAATTCATGTTAATGGAAGCTGTACCAGCCACAGACGTGCCAGAATGTCTAACCCTCTTCCGACATTCAGGCACGTCTTGGTACAAGCAAAGTTACAATCAGGCCTTGTGCATCAGCATAGAACACACGTACCAAATTAGTATAAGTAGCTCATACAAAATGTAAACCTCACTCAGTCAACCAGAGTCAGTCAATCCTCATTCAGTATCCAGTAAACTCTCATCAAATATCCACAACATTATATTTTATTCTATACAATGTAACTCATGGTAAAGAAGCCAAAGTTATCATTTCAACTTCAAATTCCGCACTTATTCTTTTATAAAAGGAAAATAATGTTATATACTAAAACTATTTACTAAGTACATATTTTTAGTAAGTAACGGAGTGCCGAACGAGATAGTAGCGAATTAGAGACACCCTTAGACTGTTTTTTCCATCCTCTAAACAGTTACCGACCGTGGTTGTTACTGCAGAATAGATATGAGCGTCGCGCGATGTCGGCGCCCCGCCGCCGATTTCTGGCGTTACCATTTTCACTAGGCATACACAACACGGAAGATGCGCGTGCGTACGATCAGAGCACCTCACAGTGTTTTTTTAACCCCTAAAATCAGACATGTCTCTGTTAATAAAAGAATCAGAGAACCAAGTTCAATGTCCCGAAAATTTATAAAATTATTATTTCGGAAGTTACGCGGAGTTGGTACTTGATTTTTTTTGTGGAGTTAGTCTTAATATGCAGCTAGGTTATAAAGTAAGTTGCAAATCCAACTAGCATATAATTAAACCAGAAAAAAATTAAGTAAAAAATGACTAAATGGCGATTTACTTGCAGCCTGTATGTGCCTGCGTGGCCAAAAAACGTATGTAATTTGCCTACAAGTAAGGCCTTTCAAAAAACAATCTAACTAATTACTTAGCTGCAACAATTTGGTTACCAGAATTTTATTTTCAAAAATGCCTAATACGGGACATAAACTTTGGTCGAAGTTTTCTCCAAAACTATTGTAGTGAGACGCAAGGCAGTTTTACTCGTGCATTCGGAATGAAACGTTTTCACTGATTCTTTTGTTAACAGGGACATATCCGATTTTAGGGGTAAAAAAAAACGATGTGCGCCTGAACGAACTGGTAAAACTTTGATTACTATAGAAAACGTTATTTTATTTTTTCCTTTCAAAAAGTATTTGCATAACGGTTTTTGTAGAAACAAACACGGTTATGCAAATTCGTTTCATGGTTGCGCTCGCGCTGCCGAAACGACGCCGCCGTCGACACTTTTTCGTTGACACGCCGCCGGCCGCCAGTTGTTTATTATCGGCGCTCATATCTACTGCAGAATAATCGTAGCGGCTTGGCCGGAGGCAAATAGCGCACCATAATAATATGAGGAAGAACCATAGATTTAGTATCCAAAATCTATGGGAAGAACTAAATTATGTAAGGAAATATATGTATACAAGACCGAATCCACATCACAAATTTAGAGAGCGAGTGGTTACCCCAACACACATTAGCAAAATATTAATTTTGTATGAATAAATAGTACGTATGCACAAGTTTTAAGGTCGACTTTTAACAAATTAAAAAACTACATAGTTCGCAGTAATATTTATTGATTGTAATGAATATTGCGATCTTTTACTACCATGATGTTAATTTATTTACTTTGTAATTATAATTATTAATACAAAGATCGAACACAAAGAAAAGTTCCTCCGATCTGATATGACTAGAATCTTTTTTTTATTAAACCAAGTGACGGGACGAACAAGTCGTGAGCC